TCTTAAGGGATTGATCAAAATCACAGTATTACTACCAAACTGAGTACCATTTTTAAAAATTCTGTTACAGATAGGCTTAAAAAGAGGTTACCTACTTATTTGCATTTCTTTGATTAGTAGTGATGAACATTGATCCATATTTTCCAGTTATACTTAAAACCCCTTTGTAAATTGTCTATTCACGTTCTTTCCCCATATATCTTCTTATACATCATACTGTATGAATGCAAATCTAAGAAAATGCAAATCTGACACATTTTGTCATATTTATGTCAGCTATGCCTTTCTGATCTACCTCTTAAGAAACCTGTATGCCGGTCAGGAAGCAACAGTTAGCACTGGACATGGAACAACAGACTGGTTCCAAATAGGAAAAGGAGTGTGTCAAGGCTGTATATTGTCACCCTGCTTAGTTAACTTATATGCAGAGTACATCAAGAGAAACGCTGGGCTGGAGGAAGCACAAGCTCAATCAAGATTGCTGGGAGAAATATCAATAACCTGATATGCAGATGACACCACCCTTATGGCAGAAAGTGAAGAAGAACTAAAGAGCCTCTTGATGAAAGTGAAAGAAGAGAGTGAAAAAGTTGGCTTAAAGCTTAACATTTAGAGAACTAAGATCATGGCATCCCGTCCCATCACTTCATGGCAGATAGATGGGGAAACAGTGGAAATGGTGGCTGATTTTATTTTTCTGGGCTCCAAAATCACTGTAGATGGTGACTGCAGCAATGAAATTAAAAGACGCTTACTCCTTGGAAGGAAAGTTATGACCAACCTAGACAGCATATTAAAAAGCAGAGACATTACTTTGCTAACAAAGGTCCGCCTAGTCAAGGCTATGGTTTTTCCAGTGCTCATGTATGGATGTGAGAGTTGGATGGTGAAGAAAGCTGAGCGCTGAAGAATTGATGCTTTTGAACTGTGGTGTTGGAGAAGACTCTTGAGAGTCCCTTGGACTGCAAGGAGATCCAACCAGTCCATCCTAAAGGAGATCAGTCCTGGGTGTTCATTGGAGGGACTGATGTTGAAGCTGAAACTCCAATACTTTGGCCACCTGATGCAGAGAGCTGACTCATTTGAAAAGACCCTGATGCTGGGAAAGATTGAGGGCAGGAGGAGAAGGGGATGACAGAGGATGAGATGGTTGGATGGCATCATCAATTTGATGGACATGGGTTTGGGTGGACACTGGGAGGTGGTGATGGACAGGGAGGCCTGGTGTGCTGCTGTTCATGGGGTCGAAAAGAGTCAGATAGGACTGAGCAACTGAACTGAACTGAACTGATACCTTTCTAGTCTGTGTTTAGATTTTATTTTTCAAATGGCCATAAAAGTTATTTTGGTTTTAAAGTTTAATACAAATATGTTGATCTTTTCCTTCATTAAGTTTTTTTTTCTATTTCTTCCTAAGCTTAGAAAACTATTCCCCTTAAGAAGCTTGATAAATATTCATTCATTCTAGTTTTTTTCCTAATTTGGCTCTTTAATATTTAACTCTTCAATCTAGCTGCCACTTAGTTTACTACAGGAGATGAGGGTGTAAATGTTACAAGCTGTCACAACATCATTTACTGAACAACTCTTTCCAATCATTTGCAACACATCCTTTATAAAAGATTGAATTTTATATGAAACAGTCTCTTTGGGAAGTGTACTATAATATCATCTGTCTAATCTTATACCAGTGGTACCAGTGTTTTCATTATTCTTGTTTCGTATGTTTAATAGCTAGTAACATTAGTCTCTCATTACTCCTCTTTTGCAGAATTTTCTTTGAAAATCATACTTCTTTAGCTTTCAAATAAGATTACTTGCTGTCTTACCTCTAAGAGACAAACTTCTTGAGGGCAGAATTGGTTTATTTCCTTAGAATAGATTGCTAAGAATAATAGTACTGGGTCAATAGGTACAAACATCTTCCCCACTCTTAACACTTATTTCCAAAGTTTTCAAAAAGAGTGTGCCAATTTCACTGTAATCCTGCCAGCACTTGGATATTTTGAAATTTTTTTTTCAAATTTTGTGGAGAAAAATGTGGTTTGCTTTAATTTCTGTATCTCTGCTTATTAGTGGTGATAAAAATATGATTGACACTATGTAGGTGCTTAATCAATGCATGTTGAATGAATATATGGCATGTATGAATGTACATACATTGGGGGATGAGGAGATTAAAACAAAGATTGTGGTTATAAATGATAAATCCTGGCTAGATGTAAGTTTGTGGACTAAATGCCTATAATCCATTTGCAGAAAGCTTCTAGAGGGGCCAAGAAGCCCCTGGAATTTGGACCTGAATTGGAGCAAGCTCTAGAGACTTCACTGCAGATATGTGTTTCCAAGTAGGATCAGTTGAAAGCTGTCTGAAACAGTTAAGATAATGGTGCATAGGTATGCCCACGCCTACATGCTGCCCAGAAGCCACCATAATTGGCTGGAGATAGAGTGTGCTTCCTTTGGCAGCAAAACAGTGATAAGAAGTGGCAGGTACCTGGGTATTCCACTGCACACTGATCCAGGCCCCAGCAGGCCTGAAGCAGTGAATTTAAATATATAAGCTTCTCCAGTGCTACACACAGAAACTAGATCTGACTTGTAGGACTGGGCATTTCCCATGAAACCACACTACTTTTCTCCTCAACTTGCTAAGTATGAGAAGGCATAGAAGTCCTTGGTTCAGAGGTGCTCGATTTTATCCCTTTGATCTATAGCTCGAAGGAGATAGGGTCATTTTTTCCTTCTAGAGATCACTGTCTTGACTTTGAACCTTTTAACAGGGCAAAAACTAACAAAAAGCAGGTTATTTCTCTATGTTTTTAAGGGCATATAAAACTGATTACTAAACACTGCTTCTCTTTGCTCCATTGCCTCAGTAGTGGATTCTAGTAGTAAACTTACTCAAGAATTTCCTTGGTCATGAAATCTATTCATTTGATTAAAAGAATTCCATATTATTACCTTAACCTGCATATGCTGAAACTGTGCTCAACGTTTTATTCTGAAAGATAAAGTGTTGTCTCTAGACTCAAGAGCCCTGGAGTAGCAAGGTCATGGTAGATGGTATGAACAATTGGTATGTGAATGATGCATTGGCAGTTAACTACTACTGCTGCTTCACTTCACTCAAACAGCACATTGATAAGTTCAGTTTTTAAAATCTTTCTCCTGCCTGGCGCAGGGGGGTAAATTAGGAGTTTGGGATTAACAGACATACATACTGAGAGGGTAATAGGCAGGAAGGCCAGGGGTCTCCAAACAGAGGAAATAGGCTGCAAGTGTCAGATATTTTTATCTCTCATAAGTGGCAGGAGTAAACAAACTAGCGATATTTTTTTCCTTCTCTATACAGATTTAAAAGGAGGTTTCTCTTAAAATACTGTTGCCATGACACCTGGTTTCTCAAACCTGGTTTCTCAAACCTTGAGTTAACCAATATTTTTCTTATGGAAATGTTTGTCTTAAGCTATGTTAATGTGCTATGCATTTACCCCAGACTGTCTTCAATGGCCAAATGGCTCAGAACCTACTTGACAAACCAATAGGTTATACTCAGATATTGTTCCCCTAATCTATGTAAATGAAACTATTTGTATGGTAATCTGCCCTTCTACAAGATTCAAGTCAATTGTTTTATGGCCTGGGATGAATCATCTGGTGCCAAGATTATCACAAAATGCAATTTATAGATGAGGGGCCTGGTGCCATTCTGAGTTTTAAGACATTCCTTTCTTTTCATTAACAGACTGCTAGTGACTATATAACAGCTGGCTGAAGACTAGCAGGGGGGTACCCTTCCTATCCCCTTCTGATGGCTATGTCAGAAGCTTTCTCTATCTCCTTTATACTTTAATAAAACTTTATTACACAAAAGCTCTGAGCGATCCAGCCTTGTCTCTGGCCCCAGATTGAATTCGTCTCCTCTGGAGGCCAAGAATCCTGGTGTCTTATCGTTCAGCAACAACCTTTCAATACTATATATAGAATAGGTAAACAAGAAGGATCTACTGTATAGCACAGGAAAGTATACTCAGTATCTTGTATTAACCTATAATGGAAAAGAATCTGGAAAGTGTAACTGAATCGCTTTGCTGTACACTTGAAATTAACACAACATTGAAAATTAACTACACTTCAATAAAAATAAATAAAATCCTTCTCCACCAACATGTACTACAGACATCTTAAGTGACATGCCAAATGCTAAATAATACTCAGAAGTCCTTGTTAGACACAGAGTACAACTGTTTGAAATGTTAAATTCCAAAAGGACTTTTCCTGTAACTCCAAGTAGCACCCAATAGTTGTTTCATAAGCCCTTTCTCCTTAGAAAAAAATCTAGTTTCAGCTGCCACTTTGCTTAGAGATAGCAGCATAAATCTCCTTTTTGATTCTTCAGCCATTTGTTTTAAATCTATTCTCATCCACTCTTAACCTATTCAAAAATCTGCTTGCTGTTCCTTTCTAGAACTAGCTCTATAATTCACCTCTTCCAAGACTTCCACGATTAACTGCTACTTATTACTGAGTACAGCTCATACACATATTCAACTGGTACCAAAATTGATGCTGCTCCCTAATTATTCTAGTTTTATTAATGTTTCTAGAGTTCCTTGGAGATAGGGAAATTTCTAGAAAGCTTAGAAGGAATTTAGGGATTGTCTAGATAAGTAGATTTATATCCTTTGTTCTCCCTATTTTCCTGATGAAGACACTAAGACTGAAAGAGACTAATCTATCCAAGTCAGTCAGCCAAGTTTGTAGAGAAACTAGGCATAAAGCCCAGGTATCGTGACTTTCAATAGTACACTTTCCACTATATTATGTCATCTTTTTATTTTACTTGTATTTCTTCAGAATACCTAGCTAAGTGCCACACACACACACACACACACACACGTCTCTCAATAAATGCCAATACAATAAACATAAGAGTTAACATAAATGAAAAGCTGATTCAAGGAAAGAGGTAGAAAGCAGAAAGGTCATTATCTTACTTCTTTGCATGATGCCACCCTCCAGACCAGTTGATTGCTACTTTGCACATTCCATCAATCAGGCACTGGGCAGCTGTGATTGTAGCCCCTCCTACAGCTGCAGCATAGTCGAATATTCCTTCAGTGGCTGGGCAGTCATAACCTTCAGGCAAACATCAGAAGAGCTCGTTAAAAGATAAACTGGAAAAAGAGGGGTGTGATATTATGATTTATAATAAGGAATATACAGTTAACCCTTGAACAACATGGGGTTGAACAATGCAGGCCCACTTATAGGTGGATTTGTTTTTTAAATAGAAAATACTACAGTACTACACCATCACTGGTAGGTTGAATCCCTGGATGCAGAACAGAGATATGGAGGGCTAACTATAAGTTATACTAAGATTTTCAACTGTGCAGAGGGTAGTTACCCCTAATCCATGGGTGGTTTAAGGGTCAACTGCATAATTGGTCTTATTCCCAGTTTCTGGCACAGAACTAAAATTCTTGGAATTCCTAAATGATGAGTCAGAGATGTATCTTGGTTATATTAATGAGGTGACTTGTGGACCACAACTAAGGATGGGAGTTGGTTGCCAGCAGAACCAGGCATACGAGGGTTGGAACTATCAGTTCTACCTCCTGATCTCCTGTGTGAGGGAAGAGAAACTGGAGATTGAGTTTGTAAGAAATTAATAAACAGAAACTTCAATTAAACAGTCAGGAGACCAGAAGGGGGAGCTCTCACACTGACACAATAACCAAGTTTAACAAGAAAGACTTCTTTCCTGGCAAGGATTCAAGTCAATGAAAAGCCAGGAACTCTCTTTATTTTATTTTTTTGTTACTATAGCCCTCCCAGCTTCCTTTCCTTCTCTATAAGAGTGTTCTTCCCTAGCCATGCAAGAAATTGCACATGGCTTGCTATGGTTGCAGACTCCAAATGGCAATTCTCTGTTGATCCCAAACAAACCCATATTTGATGGAGAAATATCTGGCAGCCTATTTGTTTAGGTCAACAAGTTCAATTACCAATTGGCCAATGACTTTAATCAATCATGCCAATGTAATGAAGCCTTCATAAAAACCCCAAAGAAGAGGGTTTGGAGAGTTTCTGGGTTGGTGAACACAATAGAGATTTGGGGAGAGTGGCATGCTTGGAAAGGACATGGAAACTCTGTGCCCCTTTCCCATACCTTGACTTTCTGTGTCTCTTCCATCTGGCTGTTCCTGAGTTATATCCTGTTTTCATTAACTAGTAATCTAGTGACTATATGGGTTCCCTAGGTTCTGTGAGCTGCTCTAGAAAATTAATTAAATCCAAGGGGAGTAGGACATGGGAATTTCTGATTTACAGTTGGTTAGAAGTAGAGTTAACAACTTGGACCTAGGCTTGGCATCTTAAGTTGGTGAGGTTGTTAGAATCTCCAATTTGCAGCCTGTCACTCAGGGCACAGGTAGCAGCTTGAGTTTGCAATTGGTATCTGATGTGGACTGAAGTCTTGTGGGTGCTCTCGGTCGCTACCCCTGACCTTGGGTGAGGGGTAGATCCTCATGGCCACACTTCTGCGCAGTCCGTCGCAGCCGGCGCGCTTCTGCGCAGTCTGTCGCAGCTAGAAGCGGCGGCTGAGAGGAGCATCCCCACGTCCAAGGTCAGGGGTGGCGGCCGAGAGGAGCTTCCCCACATCCGAGGTCAGGGGAGGCGGCCGAGAGGAGTACCCCACCTAGGAGGGCAGGGGCGGTGGCCGAGAAGAGCTACCGCACACCCAAGGGCAGGGGCGGTGGCTGAGAGGAGCAACCCCACCTCCAAGGAGTGGCTTCTGTGGGGCGCAGGAGGGCTGAGAGGAGCTACTCCACATTCAAGGTCAGGAGAGACAGACATGAGAAGATACCCCTCGTCCAAGGTAAGGAGCAGTGGCTGCACTTTGTTGGAGCAGCTGTGAAGAGATACCTCACTTCCGAGGTAAGAGAAACCCAAGTAAGATGGTAGATGTTGCGAGAAGGCATCAGTGGGCAGAAACACTAAAACCATAATCACAGAAAACTAGCCAATCTGATCACAGGACCACAATTGTGTCTAACTCAATGAAACTAAGCCATGCCGTGTGGGGCCACCCAAGATGGTAGGGTCATGGTGGAGAGGTCTGACAGAATGTGGTCCACTGGAGAAGGGAATGGCAAAACACTTCAGCATTCTTGCCTTCAGAACCCCATGAACAGTATGAGAAGGCAAAATGATAGGATACTGAAAGAAGAACTTCCCAGGTCAGTAGGTGCCCAATATGCTACTGGAGATCAGAGGAGAAATAAATCCAGAAAGAATGAAGGGATGGAGCCAAAGCAAAAACACCACCCAGTTGTGGATGGGACTGGTGATAGAAGAAAGGTCCAATGCTGTAAAGAGCACTACTGCATAGGAACCTGGAATGTTAGGTCCATGAATCAAGGCAAATTGGAAGTGATCAAACAGGAGATGGCAAGAGTGAATGTCGACATTCTAGGAATCAGTGAACTAAAATGGATGGGAATGGGCGAATTTAATTCAGATGACCATTATATCTACTATATTATATCTACTATACTATATATACTATTCCTGTGGGCAGGAATCCCTTAGAAGAAATGGAGTAGCCATCATGGTCAACAAGAGAGTCTGAAATGCAGTACTTGGATGCAATCTCAAAAATGACAGAATGATCTCTGTTCGTTTCAAAGGCAAACCATTCAACATCACGGTAATCCAAGCCTATGCCCCAACCAGTAACACTGAAGAAGCTGAAGTTGAATGGTTCTATGAAGACCTACAGGACCTTTTAGAACTAACACCCCAAAAAGATGTCATTTTCATTATAGGAGACTGGAATGCAAAAGTAGGAAGTCAAGAAACACCTGGAGTAACAGGCAAATTTGGCCTTGGAGTACAGAATGAAGCAGGGTAAAGGCTAATAGAGTTTTGCCAAGAGAACGCACTGGTCATAGCAAACACCCTCTTCCAACAACACAAGAGAAGACTCTACACATGGACATCACCAGATGGTCAACACCGAAATCAGATTGATTATATTCTTTGCAGCCAAAGATGGAGAAGCTCTATACAGTCAGCAAAAAAAGCACCAGGAGCTGACTGTGGCTCAGATCATGAACTCCTGATTGCCAAATTCAGACTTAAATTGAAGAAAGTAGGGAAAACCACCAGATCATTCAGGTATGATCCAACTCAAATCCCTTATGAATATACAGTGGAAGTGAGAAATAGATTTAAGGGTCTAGATCTGATAGACAGAGAGCCTGATGAACTATGGATGGAGGTTTGTGACATTGTACAGGAGACAGGGATCAAGACCATCCCCAAGGAAAAGAAATGCAAAAAGGCAAAATGGTTGTCTGAGGAGGCCTTACAAATAGCTGTGAAACGAAGAGAAGAAAAAAAGGAAAGATATTCCCATTTTAATGCACAGTTCCAAAAAATAGCCAGGAGACATAAGAAAGCCTTCCTCAGCGATCAATGCAAAGAAATAGAGGAAAACAACAGAATGGGAAAGACTAGAGGTCTCTTCAAGAAAATTAGAGATATCAAGGGAACATTTCATGCAAAGATGGGTTCGATAAAGGACCGAAATGGTATGGACCTAACAGAAGCAGAAGATATTAAGAAGAGGTGGCAAGAATACACAGAAGAACTGTACAAAAAAGATCTTCATGACCCAGATAATCACAATGGTGTGATCACTCACCTAGAGCCAGACATCCTGGAATGTGAAGTCAAGTGGGCCTTAGAAAGTATCACTACGAACAAAGCTAGTGGATGTGATGGAATTCCAGTTGAGATATTTCAAATCCTGAAAGATGATGCTGTTAAAGTGCTGCACTCAATATGTCAGCAAATTTGGAAAACTCACCAGTGGCCACAGGACTGGAAAAGGTCAGTTTTCATTCCAATCCCTAAGAAAGGCAATCCCAAAGAATGCTCAAACTACTGCACAATTGCACTCATCTCACACGCTAGTAAAGTAATGCTCAGTATTCTCCAAGCCAGGCTTCAGCAATACATGAACTGTGAACTTCCAGATGTTCAAGCTCGTTTTAGAAAAGGCCGAGGAACCAGAGATCAAATTGCCAATATTTGCTGGATCATCGAAAAATCAAGAGACTTCCAGAAAAACATCTATTTCTGCTTTATTGACTACGCCAAAGCCTTCGACTGTGTGGATAAGAATAAACTGTGGAAAATTCTGAAAGAGATGGGAATACCAGACCACCTGACCTGCCTCTTGAGAAACCTATAGGCACGTCAGGAAGCAACAGTTAGAACTGGACATGGAACAACAGACTGGTTCCAAATAGGAAAAGGAGTACGTCAAGGCTGTACATTGTCACCCTGCTTATTTAACTTCTATGCAGAGCACATCATGAGAAACGCTGGGTTGGATGAAGCACAAGCTGGAATCAAGATTGCTGGGGGAAATACCAATAATCTCAGATATGCAGATGACACCACCCTTATGGCAGAAAGTGAAAAAGAACTAAAGAGCATCTTGATGAAAGTGAAAGAGGAGAGTGAAAAAGTTGGCTTAAAGCTCAACATTCAGAAAACTAAGATCATTGCATCAGGTCCCATCACTGCATGGCAAATAGATGGGGAAACAGTGGAAACAGTGACAGTATTATTTTGGGCTCCAAAATCACTGCAGATGGTGACTGCAGCCATGAAATTAAAAGATGCTTACTCCTTGGAAGGAAAGTTATGACCAACCTAGACAGCATATTAAAAAGCAGAGACATTACTTTGCCAACAAAGGTCCATCTGGTCAAGGCTACGGTTTTTCCAGTAGTCATGTATGGGTGTGAGAGTTGGACTATAAAGAAAGTTGAGCACTGAAGAATTGATGCTTTTGAACTGTGGTGTTGGAGAAGACTCTTGAGAGTCCCTTGGACTGCAAGGAAATCCAACCAGTCCATCCTAAAGGAGATCAGTCCTGGGTGTTCATTGGAAGGACTGATCCTGAAGCTGAAACTCCAGCACTCTGGCCACCTCATGCGAAGAGTTGACTCATTGGAAAAGACCCTGATGCTGGGAGGGATTGGGGGCAGGAGGAGAAGGGGACAACAGAGGATGAGATGGCTGAATGGCATCACCAACTCGATGGGTATGAGTTTGAGTAAACTCCCGGAGTTGGCGATGGACAGGGGGGCCTGGTGTGCTGCAATTCATGGGGTCGCAAAGAATCAGACACGACTGAGCGACTGAACTAAACTGAAATGAAGTCTTGTGGGACTGAGCACTTTACCTGTGGAATCTGATGCTATCTCCAGGTAGATAGTGTCAGAACTGAGTTGAATTGGAGGACACCAAGCTGGTGTCCTGAGCATTGTTTGGTGTTGTGGAGGCAAATTTTTTCCTCCACACATTGGAATTGCGTCCAGCAACCTATTAGAAAGACTAGGCTGAGGTACAACAACAATATATCCTACCAAAAAGCTACTGTGCTAACATCAGCTTCAAATGAGAGATAAATGTCTTCAATGTGTTAGAGCTAAAAAGGCTAAACTCTCAAGATTAACTAGTCACATCTTATAGATGAGGAAACTGAGGACTGAGAGGTAATATGTCATATCAGTGATGACAGAGCCAGGTATGGGACCCTCTGGTGTCTTAAGCTCCCACCTCCACCTTGCACACATACCTGCAGTCCAGTGTTTTTCTACTAAATCATACTGTTTCTCTAGACTATCCTATTGGCCACTTATGGTTCTTTAAAAATGCAGCTATTTAATGGGAAATAAGGTATCAAACTTATCCAGAATATAAATCTACGTTGAAGTTAAAATACAAGGTCACAGGACAGTTAAATCAGTGTACATATAGACTGACCCAGTCTGGGCACTGCTATTGGGGCCTAAGCAACTGAAAGGTTTTTCTCTATTTGATCCATCATTAATTTTGCTCAATTCATATGGGAGTGTAGTTAAACTAAGAGATTGATATTGTGGTTAACACATTAGTTATTAATTTGAAAGTTTTAAAGACCATCATGCAAGTTATAAGGCCTTCCCTGGTAGCTCAGCTGGTAAAAAATCTGCCTGCAATGTGGGAGACCCCAGTTTGATTCCTGGGTTGGGAAGATCCCCTGGAGAAAGGAATGGCAACCCACTCCAGTATTCTGGCCTGGAGAATTCCATGGACTGTATAGTCCATGGGGTTGCAAAGAGTTGGACATGACTGAACGACTTTCACTTTGCAAGTTATAAAAGATGAAATGGTTATGATCTGTGGATGGAGGTTGTCCATCTCCCATCATTGCCTGGTAATGACTTTACCTAGTCCATATTCTATGGAGTCTGGATGATCATCATCTCCATCTTGGCTGACCTTCTGGAGATGCTGCAGATAGGCATCAGTATGGAAGGTGGCCATCTCCTCCATGGAGGCCACTTTGGGCTTAACTATCCTAATAATAACAGAGAACAAAGAGAGGTGAGTGAGTCAGATCCAGATTATGCCAAAACCTGGAAGCAGGAGCCAAAACTTCCAGCTTCTGGTTCCAGGGGGCTGAAGCAATAAACATGTTCCTCCACTGGACTACAGTCTTCATTTTCTCACACCCACTGCATTAAATAGGGGTGACAGGATAGATATGTCCCTTAAGTTTAAAGGTAGTTTAAAAAAAGTAATTATATTAAAATTAAATAATCAGGTATCACACAAACTTTGCTTTGTGAGTTACAACTTTCATGACAAACCAGTAGGAAGAAATATTTTCACTTGAATCAGTTTTCCTAATTGGGCAAATACAATTCTTTCAACTAAAATTTTACTTTAGTAGACAGCTGAATTGTCATGAATTTTGAATTTGGAGTCAGAGAACTGGGTTCCCATCATGATTACCAGCTCCATAACCTCAGATAAGATGGCCATTCTGTTGTTCAGTTTCCTCATCTGTAAAGTGGGGGTATCTTAAGGAACTTATGTGAAGATTAAATGATAACATACATGAAAATGCTTTCTGGATAACTCTCATTATTAATAGAAAAGGATAAAAAATAGGCAACCAAAAACATAGAAATTTCTGTATCTGGTCACTCATATCTGCCTCTGAGAGGAAGGAGAAAACAGGCTGACTAGACTTCACTCAGAAGCTCTCAACCAACTGTTCACAAGAAGTGAAAAATAGGAGTAATGGAGAGCAGTGCACTAACCTAACAAAAAGGACTTAGCCACCTCTAACTTCTAGCTGCCTAGTCCCTATATCTTCTTCCTGACTCTCCCACTGCCACTACTGCTCTCTAGGCTTTGCCACTCAAAGGGTGGTCTATGGACCAGCAGCAGCAGCATCTGGGAGCTTGTTAGAAAAGCAGAATTTCAGCCTCCCATCAGACTTATTGAATCAGAATTTGTACTTTAGTGCTTGCTTCAGCAGCACATATACTAAAATTTGAAAGACACAGAGAAGATTAGCAATGTCCCTGCACAATGATGACACTCAAATTTCTGAAGCATTCTGTATTTTTGGGTTGGAAGTTTTGGATTAGCAGATGCAAAGTATTATACATACTCTTCCCAGGTGGCTCAGTGAGTGATAAAGAATCTGTCTGCCAATGCAGGAGTTACAGAAAATGAGGGTTTGATCCCTAGGTTGGGAAAAATCCCCTGGAGGAGGAAATGGCAACCCACTCCAGTGTTCTTGCCTGGAGAATCCTCATGGACAGAGGAGCCTGGTGGGCTACTGTCCATGGGGTCATAAAGAGCCAGATATGACTGAGCAACTAAGCACCACATATATACACACACACACACACACACACACACACACACACATATATATCTGAATCACTTTGCTGTACATAAGAAACTAAACAATATTGTAAATCAACTATACTTCAATAAAATAGAATTTAAAAAATAATATGTATTTTAACAAGGTGATTCCTATGCACATTCAAGTTGAAAATGCATGACCTAAGACACAGGGAGGCAGTAGTGGGGTTTTTTTGTTGCTGAAAGGAAACATGCCCATGAGTCTTTTATGAATTAATATGGTTATGTAGGCTACTACCATTATCAAGCAGTCTCAGCCTTAAAAATTAAATACATATAGCCAAGATCCAAGGAGTCTTGCTTCTTCTTCAAGAATACATATCCACACCCTTAGAGGTGACAAGTCTGTTTAATAAAATAAAAATTTATGGTTTCTTGTACCATGTTTCCCAGCCCTAATTGCTCCCTCTTTTAATATTCTTCCTTTTGTGTGTGGTAGTCACTCAGTCATGTCCGACTCTTTGTGACCCCATGGACTGTAGCCCACCAGGCTCCCCTGTCCTTGGTATTCTCCAGGCAAGAGTACTGGAGTGGCTTGCCATTTCCTTCTCCAGGGGAACTTCCCAACCCAGGGATTAAACCTGGCTCTTTTTTTTTCTATTGCACTGCAGGCAGATTCTTTACCACCTGAGCCACCAGGGAAGTCCCCACTCTTCCTCTTAACAAATCCTTACTAAAAGCCTCCCTACTTAACAAGAAAGACAGTTTTATTTTTATTTGATTTCTTGCCTGTCTTAAATTAATTTTTAAATGCTAAATAGTTTAATGAAAGGCAAGTAGTTTCTCTATTTACCAAACATATAGGCTAAAAAATGGTTGAAAAACATTCATAAAGAAGATACTCAATAAATGATTTTGTTAATAATAAGGATAAAATTTACACTACCATTTGGGAGATAAACGAAGCCTATCACACTAGCCAGCATAGACAGATGCTCACCTAATTGGCCAGGGAATGTCAGAAACACCCCTACAAGTGTCAGAGTTATATTTACTCTTATAATGACAAACAGCAAGTTGTTTTTTTTTTTTTTAAAGAAGCACTTAGCTCTGTGCTGAATTCTGGCCTTCATTCCAGGGATTTTCTTTGGTTTTGACTGTCTCTAGGCTCATTATTTAAGTTTGGTGGTGGTAATGGTGTGCCTAAAATTCTTAAATTGAATCCATACTCTCAGATCTGGCTTAGGGGAAAAAGAAAAAGCAAGCAAACCAGACCAACTCCCAGCTGAAGGTATTTTTCATCAGATAGGTTTTAGTACCCATATGTTCTAACCCCCAAACCTCCACAAAATACCTATCCCTAGGATATTTCCCTCCCAGCAATAAAGACCTATTTCTTAACTGCTTTAAGCACTTTTTTTTGAGTTTTCTTAATTCTTCAAGAGCTTTTATTAGGCTACAGGCCGATTACCAACACTGTGTATCACACACACAAAAAAGAGAAAACTTTAAAAAAAAAGTACCATTCTCTCACTAATTAGCCCCACCGGTGAAGCAGGACATTAAGGCTATGAACACCTGGGTTCAGGGTCCTGTTCAAAACACAACTTACCTCATTTGCTTATGCAGTGCATATGCTTCAATCAAGGAATGTACCATACTGGCCTAAAAACATCAGCAAAAAAGGGGGATAAAGACAGAAATGGTCTCTTACATGTTTTAATTCAGAGAAATCCCATCAACTTAATCATCCTGAACAAAGAAACTAACTTTTAACTCCCCTCCCTTCTTTTTATTTAACAGTTTACAAAGCACTTTAGACAATACAGATACATAGTATTTAAATCACTAAGGCGAAAGCTACCAGGTCTTACGGAGGTGATGGAAAGCTTTTCTCCCTCCGCTTCTTCTCCCCTTTGGGGATCCCTGGCAGTAGAGACACCATCCCCTCCAAGCGATCCCCTCCCCCCCACCTCCATCCCACCCCTACCTGTCCGTTGGACGCCCAGCTGCGCTCTCCGGAAACTCTTAAAGGGAACACTTCCTCCATCACCTGGTACAACTGTTCAAATTTCTGTTGAAGATTCCCCTATCCCTGTGTCCTCTTCGCTTCTTAATGCCCTCACGTTCACTGGCCCCCCCACCCCCAAAACTCAAATCACTAAGGCGAAAGCTATCGGGCCTTATGAAGGTGATGGAACACTTCTCCCTTAGCTTCTTATCCACTTTGGGGATCCCTGACAGTAGAGACCCCATCCCCTCCGTGTGATCCCCTCCCCCGCACCTCCATTCCACCCCCACCTGTCCGTTGGACGCCCAGCTGCGTTCTTAGGAAACTCTCTAAAGGAACACTTCCTCCATCACCTGGTACAGCTGTTCAAATTTATGCTGAAGATTTTCCCCAGCCCTGTGTCCTCTTCGCTTCCTAATGCCCTCTCGTCCACCGGCCCCTTACCCCACCCCCAAAACTTACGGTGATCACCCCAATCTTTCTTACCCGTTTGGGGACTTTGGCCAGGGAGTCGCACATGCTAACATACTCGGGACTGTAAATGTAAACTGGGGGCAGCGACTGCCCACGGTCCGCCGGTTCCTCCGACTCCTCCATCTTCCACTTACAGCCGTTTCGGAGCCACCGTCTGGATCCGGCTTTTTTCGGACTCGGCTTGGGCTCAGGTTCCTGCTCCAACGATCGGCCGCAGCGGTGCTCCTTGGTCAACATTCCCCCCTAGTCTCGAGATCGCCAGTGACACTGGTCTCGCTCCCCATCCAATTGGAGGAATGCATGGGCCTCCTCAGGCCAGAACCCCTTCATTTAGTGACTACAGTTCAAAAACGGGAGGTCGGGAGAAATAAAAGTCCAAATAGCTGCCAACTAGGGCCGATATTTTATGGTACAATTTAGCACAGTCAAAATTAACCATCCTTGTTGCCCTACGGGGCCATTTGAGATGAGGTCAAATCAGCTTCCGAGCATGATGGGAGATGTAGTTTCGAGGGATTTGAGTAGCGGAAGAGCGGGGGCTAATTAGTAAAATAGCCGCGAATTTGAGATTTAGCACTTAAAAAAAAAAAAAAACGAAAAAGAAAGAAAACCTCAAAACAGTCTCAACGCTTTATGAATTGCCTCAATCTGCGAATACACCGACATTAATATCTAAAGACGGACACAATGTGGCCACTAAGAGCCCAGGACCACCCAACTGCCTCAGACGGACTTTTTTTGTTGCGGTATTAATTAACGGTACCAACGGTTTAAAAAATTTACACAGAAAATTCTGTGCGAACTTGGTTTACTGCTTTTCATTATTATCTGTCCGTGTCCATGTAAAAGTTAACAATCCCAATAATTTACTCTGGCAAAGCTGGTACTACTTTCTCAAGAGACTGCCTGGTATTCTGTAAATTGCTTGGTAGATTCCAATCAAGCAATAACGTCAAATCACTCTTTGAAAATTGATGTGGAGTAAGATACTCTCGATGATGTTGGAAAATGTAGCTCCTCTTCCTTTCTTCCTTTTTTCTTTGCAGCTATACAAGGGTTAGGGAAATATTTTATGTTTAATGTGAGGGTTCATAAAAACTATTTTATGCTGAAGCAGTTTTAGAATTACCACCAGTATTTCCAGGTTCCTGGGGGTTCCTATTATCTGATGGAAACTAGCCAATGTCCAAGTCCCCAACTCTCATATCAACATGAACTGACTTTACTAACACCTCTCAATCCAATATCCTTACCTTCTTTAAGGATATTAAACATTTATCAAGTATTGTGATATGCACTTGGATATATTATCTCATTTCATCCTTGCAACAGTCCTATAAAAGAGGTTGTAATACATCCATTTTACAAATGTAGTTTAGAGAGAGAAAATAACTTAAAATTTATACACTTCCAAGTAACTATTCAAAGTCACACACTTTCAAGCAGAAAAGCAGGAAATCTGGATTTTTTTTTCTCCTGCTATGTATTCTTTAGCTAGAATGTAAGCTCTTATGCTTCTTTTGTATCTTCCCATAGAAACTACTTCAAAGTTCTGCAATCATTCTATCATTCATCAAACTTTATCTGACATCAACTAAGTGTACAGTATAGCTGAAGATTCAACCCTCAAGATGAATTACAATCTGATCTCTTGTCTCAGGGATTTGCATTTTTGTAGAGATGAGACAGATACACAAGAAACCATAAGCAGTGCAGAGTCAGATAATGAATGTAGGATGCTTAGGTTATTTAATTAATAAGCATTAAGTACTCAAAAACTGGTGCTTAGTAAATGGCAAACTAAGTTTCTTACTCAGTGGCATCTGAGAGGGTCCTAGCGAATAGATGGGATTTTACTTGGTGAAGAAGAGAGCCAGGGGATGGGCAGGCTGACTAGAATCAACAGCATATGCAAAAACAAAAAAGGAAAACATTTCTAGATTAGTTTAGCTGAAGGGGCTGGTTCATGAAGTGTTTTGAATACCAGGCTAAAGAAAATAAACTTCACCCTGTGGGAAATAGGGAGCGTTTAAACAGAAAACTTAAAATGAAAGATTGCTATAGCAGTAGTATGTAGGGAATATTAGATATTGATTAGATATCCTACAGGCAGTGGGAGTGCTGCAATGGTTCAGATAACAAGTAACAATGATTTATGTTTTGTTTTGCTTTTTGTTTGTTTGGCTGTACCATGTGACATGTGGGCTTTCTTTCCTGACCAGGGCTGAAACCTGTGCCCCCTGCAGTGGAAGGGTGGAGTCCTAACCACTGGACTTCCAGGGAATTCCTAAGTAATGATAATTTAAACTTGGGAAGGGTTAATGGAAACAGAGAGAAAGAAATAATGCATAGGGTAGGTTCAACAGGACTTCCTTACTACTATTATTTGGATATTGGTGTGAGAAGGAGATGGAGGAGAGTCACTGAAAATTCTTAAAAGTCTGTATGAAGAGAACGTCAGTAGTATCAATATAAGGAACAGGGAAATTAGGAGGAAGAACTTAGATGGGAGGGCAGGTGCTTAACCCATTTTATTTTCCCTCATAGATAAGAGATAGCTAAAGTCATAATAGTGGCTGAGATAGCCAAGGGAACATGGATTTCTCCAGTATCTAATTGTCATATCATCTATCGATGTCTAAATGTCATATCTAAGTTAACATTTTCAAACCACAGTCCCGATTTTCCTATCCAAGTCTTTGCCACCCCTTCCTCATCTTTCATAGCTCAGTAAAGATACCAACATCTATCCAGTTGCCTAAGCCAGAAACCTGGGAGTTATTTGTATTCCCTCCTTTTCTCTCACTCCTAAATCCAGTCTATCAATATCCATTGGCTTTACCTTCAAGACACATCCTAAATATATCCACTTCTCTCCTCTGCACTGCTACCATGCCAGTCCTGGCATTGTCATCTCTCACTTGGACTTCCTGCAATATCTAACTGGTTTTGACTTTCACTCTTGTTGACTTCCAATCTATTCTTTGTCTGGATGAGCTTCATAAAACATGCAAATCAGATTATGTTACTTTTTGAAACCTGCCCCACACCATGATGAAAATCTTTGAGTTAAGAAGAAGAGAATAATTTGGGAAATGCCTGTTTTGGGGAGTTAGGAGAGAAAGATGACAAAAAGGAGACAAAAAAGGAACAGTTGAGTGAGAACTAGTACAGTTTTACAGAAATCAAGGGATGAGAGAGTTACAAGAAGGGAGACGTAGTAACAATGTCATGTATCACAAAAGGATTAAGAAAAAACAACCCTTTTTGCCATTAGGGTTTCACTGGTGCTCTATGAAAAATACACAAGGTAGGGAAGGAAGCCAGATAGCAAGGGGTTAATGAGTGAAGCCAATGCGGTCAAGTGTAGCTTCCTTTTAGAAGAATTTTGATTGTGAAAGGAAGGAATTAGTATTTCAACCCAGGGAGATATCAGAGCCTAGTATACTTTTTTAGGGTAAGAGAGAAATGTACATGTCTACACAGAGAAAGGAGTCTATGGGACTAAAAGGTGAGGTCATGACAGGTTGGCAGTACAAGAAGGAAATAGAACTTGTCTAGTGCTTTTATGGGTAGGAAGTGGAAGGATGATGGCAGAATACAGACTGGCTAAGTGAGAATCTAAAATCTGTACTCTATTTGAGGTGAAAATGGATAGTTCCATGAGTTCTTTTTTTTTTTTTCATTTATTTTTATTAGTTGGAGGCTAATCACTTTACAATACCGCATGTGTTCTTCAAGTTCTAGCAATAGGTAGCTGAACACTTCAACAAGGGGGAGCATTGGAAACAGTATCTAAACTGGAAACAGTATCCTTGTTTGGCATACAATGTTGCAAAATAGAAAAATGATAAATTGTTGCTTGGGGATCTGAAACTGGTAGCAAATTTCTGCCGCAAATCCCACAGGGAGGTTGCACCCTTATTCATGACTAGGATAGAGCACAAATCATGCCACAGGTACCAACCTCAACTTTCCACATGCCTAATATTTCTATGATCCTTACCTCAAGAAGAAAACCTTTCCTAAAGCACCAGATTTGCAGTCAGAGGATTTGAAGTCAGAGGAAATAGACTGAATCTTGGCTCCACAGTTAACTTAGTGTGGTGACCCTGGATAAGTTACTTGACCCCCTTTCCTTAGGCATTTTTGCTAAAGGTAGTTTTTGAACTAGCAAGGTCATGATAGTCTGTGCTGCTTCTTTTGATGATCTACACTGCTTTTACTTGCTGGCAGCAGCAGGGAGAAGGGAAAGCAAATGCATTAAGAAGTCACTACCCCTCTGGCCAACCTCTTTGTGCATTTTATGATATGCCCACTGATGCCTCAATTGTACTGAACCAAATGACCCTAGTTTTCACACCATTTCCTCATGTCTTTTCCTTGGAAAGGGTCATTGTTGAGAATGCGAATTCTAGAGTCAGACTAGCTTAGATCCCAGTTCTACCACTTCCTGGCTGCTTGATCTTCAACAACTTGCTTATAATGCTCAGTGCCTCAGTTCCATCATATGTAAGATGGGGATGACAACAATTTCTATCTTACGTGGTAATTATGAAGACAGAATAAGATGGTTCATGCCAGTAGAGATGCAGACATAGAGAACAGACTCGTGGACACAGTGGGTGAAGGAGAGTGTAGGGCGAACTGAGAGAATAGCATTGAAACATATACATTACCATATGTAAAATAGATACCTAGTGGGAAGTTACTGTAGAACACAGGGAGCTCAACCTGGTACTCTGTGACAACCTAGAGGGGTGGGATAGGGGGGTGGGAAGGAGGTTCAAGTGGGAGGGGAGAGATGTATAATTATGGCAGATTCATGTGGTTGTACAGCAGAAACCAATACAAAATTGTAAAGCAATTGCTCTCCAATTAAAAAAAAGACAGTCCATGCCAAGTGCCTGTGTAACAATGTCTGGCATTTGGTAAGTACTCAAATATTGATTATTATTTGCTTTAAGAGCTATTATGCCAAATATTTCTTAATTTGGGGGAAGTCTCCACCCCAGTGTTATCTTTACCCACATACCACTACTGCATGAGTACTATTGCTAGTTTGAGAACAGGTCTTTGGCTTTTAGGCCTAGCCTTAAGAGAAATCAGACTTCTGCTAAATATAGGGTGACCATACCATCCAAAGTGGGACACTTTTAATGTCAGAGAGTGCTATTAATAATTACACCAGGACAACAGGCATAAATGGGGACTGTCCTGAACAAACCAAGACCTAAGGCCACTCAAGTTTAATAGGAAATGAATACTAAATATGGAAAAACACTATGTTTATCTCCATTGCATTAGTACAGGTACTAGGTATTTGGTAAGTATAAAAAGGATTTTTTAAGAGTAATAGCAACTTTTGACCCATCAGCTGCATAAAATTCTCAGAATGTAGTATAACCCAACTAGCCAGGATGGGACTGCAGAGATAGTTCATCTTTGCTGGATAAACCCTTTCTTGTTATACAAAAGGCTAATGAGTAGTAGAAACAAGATTCTGCCGAATATTTATAACATTTAGGAGAGCGAACAGTTTTTAGGTATCTTCTAGTAGTGCAGGGGAACCACCTGCACACAAATGTAATGTTGAGCAAAAATTAGTCTTATTCATCAGAACAGGTTTCCTGACAATATCAATAAGCTAGTTTAAATTTAGTGAGCGTAGTTTAAGTAGTTGTGCATGTGAATAATAAAACTGCATTTATTTACATATATTACATATTATATAATTTATAATATGATTTATGTATTAATATTATCCTACTTTGACCCAATTAATGACCTTTGACTGTACTGCATACCTATAGTTTGTAAAATAGAGCCATGAAATAAACTCCAATCACAGAAACACATGAGACTTTGCACATTGGCACCAGACATAATTAAATTGGAAATTCTAATTTTTTATTCTATTTTCAAAATGTAAGTGCTTTTAAAAAGTCTAATGTGCTTTTTAGTGTTGCATACTTAAAAATGAACAAAATATGAATCAAGTTTTCTAAACAGTTGTTTTAAAAGTGAAGTAGCTCTGTATGGGAGGCATAGTGATAGATAACCTCATAAACCCAGAGAAATGTAGCTATCATGTCAGTTCAGGTGTATTTGTGTGGGAGGCAGTGGTGACGCTCAAATGTGCCACTTCAGATGTACTCCCCATGGCTGGGGTACACTTGCAGCCAGTGAAAAGACAAATAGTTTCAGTTCAGTTCAGTTCAGTCGCTCAGTCGTGTCTGACTCTTTGCGACTCCATGGACTGCAGAACGCCAGGCCTCCCTGTCCATCACTAGCTTCCAGAGTTTACTCAAACTCATGTCCATTGAGTTGGTGATGCCATCCAACCATCTCATCCCTTCTCCTCCTGCTTTTGATCTTTCCCAGCATCAGGGGCTTTTCAAATGAGTCAGTTCCTTGCATCAGGTGGCCAAAATTTTGGAGTTTCAGCTTCAACATCAGTCCTTCCAATGAATATTCAGGACTGATTTCCCTTAGGATGGACTGGTTGGATCTCCTTGCAGTCCAAGGGACTCTCAAGAGTCTTCTCCAACACCACAGTTCAAAAGCATCAATTCTTCGGTGCTCAACTTTAAAGTCCAACTCTCACATCCATACATGACTACTGGAAAAACCATAGCCTTGACTAGATGGACCTTTGTTGGCAAAGTAATGTCTCTGCTTTTTAATATGCTGTCTAGGTTGGTCATAACTTTCCTTCCAAGGAGTAAGCATCTTTTAATTTCATGGCTGCAGTCACCATCTGCAGTGATTTTGGAGCCCAAAATAATACTGTCACTGTTTCCACTGTTTCCCCATCTATTTGCCATGCAGTGATGGGACCTGATGCAATGATCTTAGTTTTCTGAATGTTGAGCTTTAAGCCAACTTTTTCACTCTCCTCTTTCACTTTCATCAAGATGCTCTTTAGTCCTTTTTCACTTTCTGCCATAAGGGTGGTGTCATCTGCATATCTGAGATTATTGGTATTTCCCCCAGCAATCTTGATTCCAGCTTGTGCTTCATCCAGCCCAGCGTTTCTCATGATGTACTCTGCATAGAAGTTAAATAAGCAGGGTGACAATGTACAGCCTTGACATACTCCTTTCCCTATTTGGAACCAGTCTGTGGCTTCCTGACCTGCGTACAAACTTCTTAAGAGGCAGGTGAGGTGGTCTGGTATTCCCATCTCTTTAAGAATTTTCCACAGTTTGTGGTGATCCACACAGTCAAAGGCTTTGGCATAGTCAATAAAGCAGAAATAGATGTTTTTCTGGAACTCTCTTGCTTTTTTGATAATCCAACAGATGTTGGCAATTTTATCTCTTGTTCCTCTGCCTTTTCTCTAACCAGGTTGAACATCTGGAAGTTCACGGTTCACATACTATTGAAGCCTGGCTTGGAGAATTTTGAGCATTACTTTACTAGTGTGTAAGAAGAGTGCAATTGTGAGGTAGTTTGAGCATTCTTCAGCATTGCCAAAAGTATAGTTTCAGAAAAGGGTGTAAATTTTCTTTATATGTGACCAGAAAATCATGTAATCAGAAAGACACTTACCATGTGTTTCCTTTTCCTATAAGAGAAATACTGAAAAGGTTGGCCATCCTTTCTTTGTTTCCACTATCTGTTTTACTATCACCCTACTATGTTCATTTATTCACATGTACTCATAATATTGTCACTGGTAATGTTACAATTATTTAGAGAGCCCACCATCCCCATTCTTGGAGAAAAACCTGAAAAAATCTGACAGAAAATAGGGGATTGAAGTAGGAAGTTATCTGAATGCAAATAGGGAAATTAATACTTTACAGGAGAAGGAAAATGCTATGGACTGAATGGCTGCATCCCTTCAAAATTCGTATCTTGAAGCCTCAGTCCCCCCATGTGATGGTATTTGGAGATGGGAGCCTTTGGGAGGTAATCAGGTAGAGTCTGCATGGCAGGCTTGGTGCCCTTATAAAAAGAGGAAGAGCCCAGAGCTTACTCTCTCTGTGCCATGTGAGGATACAGCAAGAAGGCAGCCAGCTGCAAACCAGAAAGAGGGCCCTCCCCAGACACTGAATCTGCTGGTACTTTGGTCTTGAACTTCTCAGCCCTCAGACCTATCAGAAGTAAATGTTTGTTCTTTAAGCCACCCTGTCTATGGTATTTTGCTATAGTAGCCTTGAACTAAAACAGAAGGTTAGGAGAAACATTCTTCAATGGCTACCTAAATGTGAGACAAAGGAAGAGGACTCAAGGAGTCCTCCATTATCTTTTGTGTGTCAGCCTGAGACCACAGTCACATACCTCTCCCACACACAGCACTCATATTTACATACTTACACAGTTCGTCAAACATGGGTAAAGATATTAATAGATATACAGACATATCAAAACTACTTACATTCAGAAAAAGTTCCCATGTATGCTTAGACATACATACAAATGTAGGTGTTTTCAAGAGACAGATATATGCCCACAGATATCAAGATATACACAGATATGAACAGTAGAACCAGGAAGTAAAAATGCAAGTGAATGAGTTTAAAAGTATATAGGAGGTCAGGGAGTTGGAGGGGGTAGATGCTGTAGAAAGTGAGTATGTGAGTGAGACAAAGGCCAGGTGAGCAGAGAAAGAGTACTCAGTAAAGCAGCTATAGATTGGACTGCTGGATCCCTGTTCCCCAAAGAGAGGCTTCAATTATTCTCTGTGTCGTGTGCTGGCCCACTCTTCAAAGGCATGTATTAGTGTACAAGGCTTTCTTCAAGACACTAACCCATCTGATTCCTTCTCAATTCCCTAGGTGTAAGACTCTCCCCAGACATCTTCTCTTCTTCCACTCTCCTTTCTGAAATTGGGCCCCTGGATCCATTTCTCTGGGTTATTCTGCATTTTCTGCTACACATACATCTTTGAGTACCAGCAATCTTTATTAAATGTGATTTTAAGTGTTAATACTGAAATTCTTAAATATACACACTGAACTTGCAATTTCTTGATATTTCACTAGAAGGAGAATAAGAATTATGTATATAGATACAGAGAAGGCAAAAGCAGAGACTAAGTGTACACAGAAAGGAATTCATCATTCAGCATGAGGCAGCATGTGAGTGAAGAAGAAAATTATGATCTGGTACTCTTTCCCCCCAAAAAGGTACTTAGAATAGATAATTTCCAACTTATAGGAGCATAAAATCCAACAATTGAGGGTTTATTCATTTGAAATAATGTCCCAATGCACCCACCACTCATTTACACAATGAAACCACACATAAGAAAAATCAAACTTCAGAAATAAGTTATTATTAACATCTGCTCCCCAAACAGGAGTTAGAAAACTAAGTTTGTAACAGATCTAGAGAATAAAAACACACACTTTTATAAACCATGAAAGAATGAAGGCTCGCAATGAAGAGCCTGGGTGAGCAGATGCCTCCAAGCAAGGGTTCACATCTTCTAAAGCAGTTATTTTATCAGAAAAGTTTGCTCTTCTTTGGGGGGACGGATTGGCAAGGGACAGGGTTGGAGTGATCAGGCCATCATATTTCAGTTCCATGCATAATCAACGAGGCAGGAACCAACTGTCAAAAGGCTCCCAGCAGCCAGGCCTAGAGGCCTCACTGCATGGCACAGATGCTGTGGGGCAGGAACTCCTGCACATAGGTGGCCGCTGCCTTGGAGAGGTAGGTCATGGTGCCAAACCTGCCACTGGGTGCACTGTCATACAGAAGAGTACAGATTCCAGACGCAGGATCCTTTGCCAACATGATATCATCTGCACCGAGGGTTTTCTGTTTGGTTTTTAAGGATGGGAAAACACCGGGGAAAGGAAAAATTACTAATCCTACTAATTAAAGTCCTGATTAGAATAACTCAGAGCCTCCTCCCCATCACCAACTAGTTGGATCATTGGCTGTTTAGACAGCAAGGGATCAGGGTTATACTCAAAATAGTGGCTATGGGTTTCTATACATTCATTTTTCACTAGATCCCCAAATCATATGAATTATTTTAAAAGCACTAATTGTTTAGAATTTTTGAAAGTTCAACATAATAGGTAATTAGAGTTTTGTTCATTAAGAGTCTAAAGTTAAAACTTACAAATCACCCTAGAGGAACTTTGGTCTGCATCCTTCTAGTACTACTGATTCAGCATGTATTATTATTATTCTTGTTTGGCCATGCCATGTGGGATCTTAGTTCCCCAAGCAGGGATTGAACTAGTGCCCCCTGCATTGGGAGTATGGAGTCTTAACCACTGGACCATCAGGGAAGCCACTCAGCATGTTATTTTATCTTGTATTTGACCATTATTTCTTTTCTTTCTAAGTTGATTTAATTCAAATGGATCACAAGCTTTCCAAGCTAGAGTCAATGCCTAAAAAGGATCACATTTTCTGATATAATAAATAGCAGTCAGAGTATTTAAAATTAGGACTATCTTGTGAAATCTTTGAAATGTCCTAGAGAAGCTTTTAATTTCCTTTGCATCCACATCCCCAGGGCCTAAAAGAATGAAACACTGATTACATGTTTTGGGAATTTTTGTATTGACAAGAGCACATGCCCTTCACTTTATGTGTTCCTACTTTTAATCTAGGAAACATCTGGAAAGCTTTTAGTAGTTTGCATTTTTTAAATGTGGTTAATTTTCTGAAGTAAGATTTAATAAGAAAAATAAGAAAATGCAGAATTAAACATTGTACTTCAATATTTTCTTATAGGTCAGAAAGAAAAGCAAAAACAAAACAAACCTAAATCAAATCTTCTCTTTTCCTTAATAGTCCAGAAAGGATACACTACCCAATGGTTTCTTCTTAAGTCCTTATCACTACAAAAAGTAGTGTGATAAAAGTAATATGAAATATGACAAAAAGCATAAGAGCCTCCTGAGTTCCAGGCAACTTTACCATCTAACACAACCACAAAACATGGTAAAAGACAGAGGTCATCCCACAGCCTAGTTCTCAAACAGATAGAGGTCAGAGCCACTGCAAAGGAGGCCTAGAAAAGGGCTATGAGGAAGATGGCACAAGAAAGTGACCTTGGCTTCTTGAAGAGGCTTCTTGAAGAGTTAATATCAGACATTTCCCTTTGAAAAAACAACAGGTTTGCCTACCTGTTCTTGAAGAAACAAGTCATTGGCAATATGCACTATTTTCTCCACAGCAATGATGCTTCCAATACTATGAATCTCAATGTCTGCCATCATGGTGAGGACAAGGATGGCTTCAACCAGAAGCTGACGGTACTCTGGCTGAGGTACACGATTCAGGACAGACTCCACATGAACAGAGAATTTGATCTCGCCTGGAGTCATCTGTGATAGAAGGGGAAAAAAAATAAGTTCTTAAGAGCCCATTGTGCTGGGAGGCATCAAGTACCTATTCTGAAAGGCAGAAGAAATACTGTAGCCAAGAGCACTGTTTCAGTCTCCTTTAAAGTAATTGAGTGAGCTCCAGTTTCATCCATCTCATTAGAACTGATTCAAATGAATTCTTTTTAATGGCTGAGTAATATTCCATTGTGTATATGTACCACAGCTTCCTTATCCATTCATCTGCTGATGGGCATCTAGGTTGCTTCCATGTCCTGGCTATTATAAACAGTGCTGCGATGAACACTGGGGTGCACGTGTCTCTTTCAGATCTGGTTTCCTCGGTGTGTATGCCCAGGAGTGAGATTACTGAGTCATATGGCAGTTCTATTTCCAGTTTTCTAAGAAATCTCCACACTGTTCTCCATAGTGGCTGTACTAGTTTGCATTCCCACCAACAGTGTAAGAGGGTTCCCTTTTCTCCACACCCTCTCCAGCATTTATTGCTTGTAGACTTTTGGATAGCAGCCATCCTGACTGGTGTGTAATGGTACCTCATTGTGGTTTTGATTTGCATTTCTCTGATAATGAGTGATGTTGAGCATCTTTTCATGTGTTTGTTAGCCATCTGTATGTTTTCTTTGAAGAAATGTCTGTTTAGTTCTGGAGCCCATTATACAGAGTGAAGTAAGCCAGAAAGATAAAAACCAATACAGCATACTAATGCTTATATACAGAATTTAGAAAGATGGTAATGATAACCCTATATGCAAAACAGAAAAAGAGACACAGATGTACAGAACAGAATTTTGGACTCTGTGGGTGAAGGCGAGGGTGGGATGTTTCGAGAGAACAGCATCGAAACATGTATACTATCTAGGGTGAAACAGATCACCAGCCCAGGCTGGATGCATGAGACAAGTGCTCAGGCCTGGTGCACTGGGAAGACCCAGAGGAATCGGGTGGAGAGGGAGGTGGGAGGGGGGATTGGGATGGGGAATACATGTAAATCCATGGCTGATTTATGTCAATGTATGACAAAAACTACTATGATATTGTAAAGTAATTAGCCTCCAACTAATAAAAATAAATGAAAAAAAAAATAACGTAATTGAGTGAATAAATAGGTTCAATCTTTCTGGCAGGCAATCTGGCAAGTATAACAAGCATCATAAAAGTGTCAGTGCCTTCTAACCCATAATTCTCCTTCTGGAAGTTCATCCTAAGGAAATAATTCAAGAGAGGATAAAAGCCTAATATGCAAGAGTATTTTACAGCAGCCTTAGTCACAAATATAAAACTAGAAGTAATCTAAATGTGGGAATGGTTGTGTAAATAATGGCATATTATGATATGCCATTATGAGTTTCTGTAGAATCATTAAAAGAATAAATAAGATGACTGTGGATAAAGGAAAAATCTAAGTAGAATCTAAAACTGTATATACATGACAGTTTGAGAATTAGGTAAAATATTTATATACTATTAGATTAAAAAGGCATGAAGAAATATAAAGTTATTTTAGGGTGAAATGGATTAACAAATAATTTTTGGTAAAACTGTATTAAGCATACACTTTAGGATGGCAATGTAGATCTGGAGTCTAAAGGACTCAAGCTCTGCCTTTGCCGGTTCATAATTTTATGACCTTGGAGAATTTACTTTTCTAAACTTATATGCTTGTCTGTGAACTAAGAACTACAATCCCTTTCTTAGCTGTCTCACATAGTTGTGCTGAAGATCAAATTAAAGACTGTATAAAGGAATTTTGAAGATTCATAAAAGGTACATTCAGGTATGTATTATTATTAATTTGTTAACATTTTAATCTTGCTTAAAGGCAGAGAGAAGATCAAGAAAGGACACAGTGTTCTTTACTAGAGAAAAAGCCTCTAGGCAGGAGTGGAGCCCTGAAGCACAGCATTAGCTTTCTATACCCAGCCCTCCAGTCATGATCTACAACAATTCTAGAGTGGGGAATTGGTCATACTAATTCGAGCTCCTTTGTCGATTTTATTTAAAAGCTATTTCTTCATAATTTTAGTCTGATTGGGCAAAAAGCAAAATATGAAAGCACCTTCTAATCTATGTCTGTGGTTTATGGCAATGTTTTACAACCAGGATTATATATCGGCATTATTCTTAGGATTTTTTAAAGTACAGGTGCTCATGTTCCATCCCTGGAAAGCTGGAGATAGGAGTTTGGGTTACTGTGATATATAGTTAGAGCTAAGGACCATTTTATAGTCTACAAGCATCCTATTAGAGAAAGGTAGGGATGAGCAGGATGGGGGCATGAGAAGTCATTCATTCATTCTTAGATTCATTCTCATCTGCCATTTCCAACTCTGGCAATATTCACATAAATCAGTCTAACTTAATCAACCATTAAAAAAATCTGTCTTTATATAATTAATGTAATACATAATTATTCTCTAATATTCCCATTCTATTTTTTTAAAAAAACATTCTCTCCTTTCTTCCAATGCATTTCATGTTCAGCTGATTTATGAAAGCACAGATTTGTTATTTTGAAAAGTGATCACTGAAATACTTTAGCCAGACAAGCTATCAATTACATAAATGTGAAAGACAGAATCTTACCTCTCTAGTGGTGGAAGAAGGAAGAACAAAACCTTCCACAGAAAGTCCATGACACTGCAAAACAGCAAAAACCTGTCACCAAGGATATGCTGACAACTGGAAGGCTGTAAGGAGACGCTTAGATGCTGAGTAATCACAGGCCAGTGAAAGGCCCTGCAGCCTACGTGTCTTTGCCAAGGGGTTGCGATTAATGTGTGGCAAGAAGCAGGATTGGACTTAAGGGTACTCAAGGTTCATTCTCTACTTAAGGGAGTAAAAGGCTCAGGAGGATCTACCTATTGGATAGCCTAGTCCTAAAGATTCAGAGACTATCTAGGAGGATACCATGGTAGGTTCCAGAGCCATCACAACTAGACTTCAGAAAGATTTTTTAGGCTAAAGAGAAAATCTAAATATATGCATGTACTGGATATGCATAATTACTACATTTTCTAGTTAAGCATCCCTCATCAGCATTCCTGATCCCCTCACCCTGCTCTACTTTCTCTATACTATCTGTCATCATTTAACATTTTGTATAATTTATGTGTTTTATTTATTGTTTGTCTCTCCCGAGTAGAATATAAGTTCTACACAGGACAGAGATTGTTGTCTGCTTTGTTTTCTGTTGTATACCTGTGAGCACCTAGGACACGGCTTAGTGTACAGTAGATGCTCAAGAAATACTGTATGAATGAATGATGGTCTATATCCCTCTCACCATCAATTCAGTTATTAAAAAGCAATGGGAATTAATGACTTGCCATTTTAGATTTTAAAGAAATCCAAAACACCATATTTTAAACCACATATAAATATTCCAATCCAACAGGTTTATCAACTCTATCAGCCACTCCATGTTTCATATGCCAAGTAACAATCCTTATACTGAGAATTACCAGCCTGGAAACATATGTGATTATGTTACATTCATACTCTGAAAGGAATGGAATAAAAAAAAACAGAGGGCGATTGTTTTTCCTCTTTATATTAGGAGTTTAAGTTCATGTTTTGATTCTACCACAAAATGCCCAATTTTTTCAGTTAGATTTTAATGTTCCTTCTCTTGTATTCTCACAGCCTTCTGTGTTTGTACTTCTATCATAACACTTTTGGACTTTCATTATAGCTGCTATGCAAAAAGATGGTATCTGGGTAGAAGAGCACTATCTGGGTAGTACATGTAGTCTATGAAACTGAATTGCCACAAGCCAGGTATAAGTGGAAAGATAAAGCACATATCTGTTAACACTGTGCTATAGTTGTTTTATCGAAGGAAAACAGCTGATAGGTACTCTTTGAAAGGAAGATTGCCAGAGCTGATAGTTTAAGGAATCCATTTTCACTTTTCCAAAGGATCACCTGATTCTGTCCCTGGAAGAACATCAGTGTGCAAAAGGGAGCAACATAACTAAAGATTTTGAAGTCCTGGTTGAAGTGTTCTTCAGGTCATTATCAAGGGCAACGAAGCAAAAAATAGCATCTATGAGACTATGAATGAGACCCATGAATGAGAACTGCAGTCTTCTTAGTCTTACAAATCTATCACAGTCATAATGGTGTGATGTCTCCTGGAATGTCTTTGGCAAACTAGGCCTTTGACAGAAAAACAAAAATTGGTCACACCAGTAAAGACTTTGGACTATTGGCATCACTATGACTGCATTTATTTAGTAGTTTTCATCCAAGAAAGAATATATGTAAGAGTTTCTCATAAAACTTCCCATATGCCACAATTGTTTTACTATAGTAACATTTGGTTATTGACAGCACATTGTTACAATAACATTTCTACTCTGCAATAGCTACAAAGAAAGTGTCTTTATCACTGCATTCATTTGATTGGCAGTAAGTGTATCACAATGTTTCACAATGTCAAACTATGGCCAGAAAGATAAGTAGTGATGTTTCTGAAATGTCTTTATAAATACCACAATGGCAACAGTAATGCAGAGAGACTAAATTATCAATAATATCAAAATAACAAATCAACTATTTCATTTTAATGTTTTCTTCTAGTTTTATCCATAACAGCATATGTCTTTTATATAATTGCAATGATATCACCATCATGTCATATCTCAGACAAGAAGACTGATAATTTCATGAGGGGGGTAAAATAAAGAGACACCTATGATGTATTATGCTTACCTTCTGCAAAACTTTCCATACTTTTTGATAAAATCCAATTGGAACTCTGTTCAATGCACCATCCAGCCTTCTTCGGCGTTGCCATTGACCTTGACGACTATCTTTAGATGTCTGTTGACCAAATGCACTAGGGAAGGACCCACTACTTAGACTCATAGAGGTTCCAGGTGGCTTGGGAGAAAAGCAGAGAAAAGAACATAAATCAAAAGTCACCTCTGTTTTTATGACTAATGTATTATAGCACAGTGAATAATAAACACACTCAGCAGAATTATAAACCATAAATTTAAGTGTAACAGCCAAGACACAGAGGTTATAGTGAAGCTAGCAGACTTACAAGTAGCTAGCAGCAATGTAAACAGATACAATCCTTTTAGAAACCATCTAGTGATACATAAGAAGAGCCATAAAAATACTGATGACATGGGAGGTTCTTCATTGTCTCTTTCCAAGGTTATTTCTGTTAAACTTTTAACTGGTCTATGGCTTAGTTTGTTGCTCTCATAGGCTATAACACAAGCTTCAATTTAAAAGAATCAAAATAAGACACAAAGTATGGTATCTTACTACAATGAAATTAAATTAGAAATCAGTAGCAAAAGGAAATTTGGAAAATTTACAAATATGTGAAAATTAGACAACACATCCCTAAATAACCAGTGGGCAAGAAAGAAATCGCAAGGAAAATTAGAAAACACTTTAAGATGAATGAAATTGAAAACAACATACCAAAACTTATGGGATACAGCTAAAGAGAACTTTATTTTATAAATGTTTGTACTAAAAAAGAAGAAATATCTCAAATTAATAACTAAACCTTCTACCTTAAGACAATGAAAAAAATAAGAAATGAAGAGCAAACTAAAATGAAAGCAAGGAAAAGAAAAAATTAAGATTATAACAGAAAGAAAAATAAAAAAGAAAACAAAAGTAACTGAGGAAAAACCAATGAAAGCAAATTTTGTTTCTTTGAAAACAAAATTGAAAAAGATTTATCTAGACATACCAAAAAAGGGAAATGTATTAAAATCAGGATAGAGAAAAAAAATCAGGATAGAAAGAGAAGACTCACTTCAAGTCTTAAAGAAATAAAAAGGATTATAAGGACATACCATTGGTAGCCATAGTGCCAAGATGGCAGTGTAGAAGGATGTGTGCTCATCTTCTCCTGTGAGAACTCCAAACTTGCAACTAACCACTGAACAACCATCAACAGGAGAATGTTGGATCCCACCGAAAAAAAGATTTCCATGTTCAAGGGCAAAGGAGAAACCCCAACAAGACAGTAGGAGGAGTGAAATCACATTTAGAATCAAACCTCATACTGGCTAGAGATGTTCAGAGGGCTCAAACCAAACCTTGTGTGCACCAGGACCCAGGTACCCCACAGAGACTGAGCTAGACCTGCCACTGAGTGTTTAGGTGTCTCCTGCAGAGGCACAGACCAGCAGTGGCCTGCCACAGGGACAAGGGCTCTGGCTGCAGAAGACCTGGGAGGTGCAGGGTGTGAACCCCACATAGAGCCACCGCGCAGACAACCCACAAACTGGAGAACAATTGTAACAAAGAAGGTATCACACTGTTGCAAAATTCTAGGGCCCACAGCAGATTTCCCAACCCGGGGGATCCGGCAAAGGGACCTAGAACCCACAGGGAATTTGACTTTGAAGGCCAGTGGTATTTCATTACAGAACTTCCACAGGACTGGGGAAAAACACCCTTGGAGGCACACACAAAACCTTGTGTGCACCAGGACCCAGGAGAAAGGAGCAGTGACCCCACAAGAAACTAAGCCAGGCTTGCTGTGAGTGTCCAGGAGTCTCCAGAGGAGGCATGAGTTGACAGTGACTGCCGTGGGGTCAGGGGCACTGAATACAACCGTCTTGGCATAAGCCCCTTTGAAGGAGTTTACCATTATTGCCATTACCCTTACCATAGGTAATCCAAACTACAGGGAGGGAACAGAGCCCCGCCCATCAACAGAAAATTAGATTAAGATTTACTGAGCACCCCATCAAAGCAAGGCCCAGATTCCTCCCATCAGGAAGCTTCCACAAGCCTCTTATCCTTATATATCAGAGGACATACAGAATGGAAACCACAATTACAGAAAGCTAACCAAACTGATCGAAGCGCTCTGGCTGCGACGGATTGCGCAGAAGCTTGGCCGTGAGGAGCTACCCCTCACCCAAGGTCAGGGGTGGCGACTGAGAGCGCCAGGCTGTGACGGCACAGGAACGGCCCAGAGGAGCTACCCCACGTACGAGGTCAGGGGTGACGGCTGACAGGAGCTACACCTCCACTGAGTCAGGAGCCGCGCTGGAGAGGAGCTACCCCACGTCTGAGGTCAGGCGGGGCGGCCAAGACTATCTACCCCACCTCTGAGGTCAGGGGCAGCAGCCGAGAGGAGCAACCCCACGTCCAAGGAGGGGTGGCTGCGGGGGCTCAGAAGGGCCGAGAGGAGCTACTCCATGTTCAAGGTCAGGAGGGGTGGCCGTGAGGAGATATTGCTCATCTAAGGTGAGGAGCAGTGGCTGCGCTTTGCTGGAGCAGCCATAAAGAGATACCCCATGTCCAAGGTAAGAAAAACCCAAGTAAGACGGTAGGTGTTGTGAGAGGGCATCAGAGGGCAGAAACACTAAAACCACAACCACAGAAAACTAGCCAATCTGATCACATGGACCACAGTCTTGTCTAACTCAATGAAACTAAGCCATGCTGTGTGGGGCCACCCAAGATGGTAGGGTCATGGTGGAGAGATCTGACAGAATGTGGTTCACTGGAGAAGAGAATGGCAAACCACTTCAGTATTCTTGCCTTGAGAACACCACGAACAGTATGAAAAGGCAAAATGATAGGGTACTGAAAGAGGAACTCCCCAGGTCGGTAGGTGCCCAATATGCTACTGGAGATCAGTGGAGAAATAACTCCAGAAAGAATGAAGGGATGGAGCCAAAGCAAAAACACCACCCAGTTGTGGATGGGACTGGTGATAGAAGTAAGGTATGATGCTGTAAAGAGCACTATTGCATAGGAACCTGGAATGTTAGGTCCATGAATCAAGGCAAATTGGAAGTGGTCAAACAGGAGATGGCAAGAGTGAATGTTGACATTCTAGGAATCAGTGAACTAAAATGGATGGGAATGGGTGAATTTAACTCAGATGACCATTATATCTACTACTGTGGGCAGGAATCCCTTAGAAGAAATGGAGTAGCCATCATGGTCAACAAGAGTCTGAAATGCAGTACTTGGATGCAGTCTCAAAAATGACTGATCTCTGTTCATTTCCAAGGCAAACCATTCAATATCACGGTAATCCAAGCCTATGCCCTAATCAGGAACGCCGAGAAAGCTGAAGTTGAACATTCTATGAAGACCTACAAGACCTTTTAGAACTAACACCCAAAAAAGATGTCTTTTTCATTATAGGGGAGTGGAATGCAAAAGTAGGAAGTCAAGAAACACCTGGAATAACAGGCAAACTTGGCCTTGGAGCACAGAATGAAGCAGGGCAAAGGCTAAAAGAGTTTTGCCAAGAGAACGCACTGGTCATAGCAAACACCCTCTTCCAACAACACAAGAGAAGACTTTACACATGGACATCACCAGATGGTCAACACCGAAATCAGATTGATATATTCTTTGCAGCCAAAGATGGAGAGCTCTATACAGTCAGCAAAAACAAGACTGGGAGCTGACTGTGGCTCAGATCACGAACTCCTTATTGCCAAATTCAGACTTAAATTGAAGAAAGTAGGGAAAACCACTAGAGCATTCAGGTATGACCTAAATCAAATCCCTTATGACTATACAGTAGAAGTGAGAAATAGATTTAAGGGACTAGATCTGATAGACAGAGTGCCTGATGAACTATGGACGGAGGTTTGTGACATTGTACAGGAGACAGGGATCAAGACCATCTCCAAGGAAAAGAAATGCAAAAAGGCAAAATGGTTGTCTGAGGAGGCCTTACAAATAGCTGTGAAAAGAACAGAAGTGAAAAGCAAAGGAGAAAAGGAAAGATATTCCCATTTGAATGCAGAGTTCCAAAGAATAGCCAGGAGAGATAAGAAAGCCTTCCTCAGCGATCAATGCAAAGAAATAGAGGAAAACAACAGAATGGGAAAGACTAGAGATCTCTTCAAGAAAATTAGAGATACCAAGGGAACATTTCATGCAAAGATGGGTTCGATAAAGGACAGAAATGGTATGGACCTAACAGAAGCAGAAGATATTAAGAAGAGGTGGCAAGAATACACAGAAGAACTGTACAAAAAAGATCATGATCCAGATAATCACAATAGTGTGATCACTCACCTAGAGCCAGACATCCTGGAATGTGAAGTCAAGTGGGCCTTAGAAAGCATCACTACGAATAAAGCTGGTGGAGGTGATGGAATTCCAGTTGAGATATTTCAAATCCTGAAAGATGATGCTGTGAAAGTGCTGCATTCAATATGTCAGCAAATTTGGAAAACTCACCAGTGGCCACAGGACTGGAAAAGGTCAGTTTTCATTCCAATCCCAAAGAAAAGCAATCCCAAAGAATGCTCAAACTACCACACAATTGCACTCATCTCACACGCTAGTAAAGTAATGCTCAATATTCTCGTAGCCAGGCTTCAGCAATACATGAACCGTGAACTTCCAGATGTTCAAGCTGGATTTAGAAAAGGCAGAGGAACCAGAGATCAAATTGCCAACATCTGCTGGATCATCGAAATAGCAAGTGACTTCCAGAAAAACATCTATTTCTGCTTTATGGACTATGACAAAGCCTTTGACTATGTGTACCAGAATAAACTGTGGAAAATTCTGAAAGAGATGGGAATACTAGACCACCTGACCTGCCTCTTGAGAAACCTGTATGCAAGTCAGGAAGCAACAGTTAGAACTGGACATGGAACAACAGACTGGTTCCAAATAGGAAAAGGAGTACGTGAAGGCTGTATATTGTCACCCTGTTTATTAACTTATATGCAGAGTACATCATGAGAAATGCAGGCTGGAAGAAGCACAAGCTGGAATCAAGATTATCGGGAGAAATATCAATAACCTCAGATATGCAGATGACACCACCCTTATGGCAGAAAGTGAAGAGCAACCAAAAAGCCTCTAGATGAAAGTGAAAGAGGAGAGTGAAAAAGTTGGCTTAAAGCTCAACATTC